TTATTTTATTTAATATAATTTAATACAAAATGCTATTATAGTATATATTATTTATTTGTTATTATTATTTGTTAATTTTATTTTTTGAAAAATCGATTCCTAAGATAAGGAAATGAGAAAACCATCAATTAGTTATGGAATGGCTAATCCCATATGCATGGATTTTGCGATTCCTATTTGAATCGTCATTCACTCCTAAAAAATATATCAATCATGAGAATAAGAATGAGTAAGAGAATGATCATTTCATTCCCCACGTCATTCCCGCATACCAATCATACCATAAGATTTATTAAACAGCGGTTAATCGATAATATATTTAACTTAATCATGTCCTAATTGCAAGACTTTCATATATAATTTCAGTTTTATATTGGGTGTAATGGAATTGTGTATTAATTTGGCTCATTAATTTATTTAAACCATTTCCTAATTTGTTTCATTCTGATAGATTGACATTTTTCCTTCTAGACTTATTTTATATACATATAGAGAATAACTGACCTTTTCAACTTGCGTTCGTGTGGAATTGTATGTGAACTTTTCAAAGTAACTAATTGCTTATTTTTTTTTGTAAAACTAATAGTACTATGCATTTTAATCCAAATAAAATGCTAAGAAATTTATACGTGTATATATAGGTCACATTCTTAACAATAATTATAACAGTAAATAAATAAAATTCATATAATTTAGTCAATATATAATTTCTTCGTTTCATTATGTATATATAATATTGTTTTATAGAATTTATTCAGTAATTTTTATTAAAGTATATCTGTAATTAAGGGATTATCCCATCAATTTGCGCTTAATATTCCACGTTGAAAAGTTGGGCACGTCTGCGGATAATTAGGCGACATATCAAGTGATCAAAAGTTTGACATAATCATGCTTTGACCGAGTAAAACATAAATTCCTTCTCACATCAGGCGACTTAATTTCAGGACAATTTTATGTTAGAAGTCCAATTTCTTAACAATGAGATTAAAATATTTTCAACCAAAAACGTTTACTCTTATAAACGGGGAATGCAGCAGTGTTAAAAACTCTTTAGGGAGAGCTTTGCCGTCCTTGTGGTCCTATCCGACTCGATTCCGGATTAGTCGGTTCCTTTGTAGATCCAGAAATCGGAAGGTCCCTGTACAAAAAAAAAAGCAATATAGTCATACAATTGACATACTTTCATAATATCTAAGTTTTTCAGACGGTTCACTAATCTGGGCCTAAACTAGAACTACTTTTGAATTTTAAATATTTTCTTTCATTAATCATCCTAGATTAATTCTACATTTTTGTGGGTCATTTAAGTGTTGTCATGGGGTGTAGCCACAAAAAATTCATTTCGGTACTGCTTATTATTGTAGTTATTATTGAAAACGAGTAGATATGGTCATGGGTTGGTCTGGCCCGCTAGTTCAGCTCGAACCGGTACAAACTGGCCAGCTGACCATGGGTCTTGAACCGGTTAGTGGTTTTGACCAGTCCGATTTTTGTTCAATACTTTATAGTTTATACATTTCGAACTTGTGGTTTTAGTTTCGAATTGGAACCGAAACCGGAGGTTTGGCCTTTTTTTATAAATAAAAAATTATTTTTTAATTAATTTTTGTTTCTTTTATTTAATCATGTAGCCAAGAACTGACAACTCAATGAATCGGCCAGTGCATATGTTCGGGTTGGTTCGTGGTCTTCCAACCCTCGGCCCAGCACCGACGATTTCAACTCGACACCGATTTTAGCCATGACTAGAACTTAATTATTTGTTGATATATTTCAGTTCGACTTGTGAAAACTCAATCTCGACTTGTTTATACATCTAAACAGTCAATCTCAAATAACTAATTGAATTTGTCAATCAAACAACTAGAGTCGAACATGTTTCATGTTTGTAATCAACTCTGTAAGATTTTTTTTTTTCTAGGAAATGAGGGCAAATTAATTATTGCAGGCAAATTCAACAAAAACTGAACGAAATTGGTTAACATACTGTGCAATGAGACAAGCCCAATTGAATAGCTTGCATGAGAAGTGTTGTCAAACATAATTATCCAACTCATTTGGTACTTGTCAAGTCAACCCGTTAAGAATTTAAAAGGCAAAAGAGGATTGAGCCATATTATAAACTCAATTAATAAAAATCTAGTAAGAGCATAATTGTCACTTGATAATAAAGGATTGTCTTATTTCCTCCGACTACGATCATCACTTATTTGTCATTGTTGTCAGATGAATAAATTCGACCTGAATTTTGAGGTATCAACCCCAAAATTAGATATGACTAAATAAAAGGTTACATATGCCTATGTATAAAATTTTTAAAAAATTAAAGATAGCATTTTTTTAAAATGAACATGGGGCTAGAGCCCACCCTAGTCCAAAGGTGCCTCCGCCCCGTCTAATATAAATTTCAATTGGGTGATCCGCAATTTAATATTTCTCATTGAGGCAGTCATTCCACAAAATTTCAGACCTTCATCAGCCTAATCGATTTTTCGTCTAATGTACTTTGAGTTGTTCTATATTCGAACTAATTACAACGTCGTTTGACAACTGTTTCAGACAAATGACCAACCATCAGACTCATTTCATCGACACAATTTTGCTTACAAAATTTTAGCTCCGTTTGGTCATTCAAATTTTTGTTTAAGAGCGTTATTAGTGTACTTTTTTTTTTTTTACAAATCAATGTACTTAATATAATATCTGCTAATATAGCGCACACTTTTTGAACGAAACCAATTATGGACCAAAAATTAATTTTTGCAAAAATAGTCGAATTTAAAGTTGATATGGGGCCTATTCGAAGGTAGGGGCTAGTGTATATGCTACTCGTACCATACGATTGATGCCGCCAGATCAAGGATGGGTTAAAGTCAATACCGACGGTGCGTTTAGCAAATCCACTGGAATGGGCTACGCGAAAGGTCTCATTAGGGACGAAGTCGGTCGATGGATTGAAGGGTTTTATATGAACATAGGGCTCTGCACTATCACTGGAGCTGAACTTTGGGGGCTCTTTCAAGGTCTACACTTGGCTTGGGAATTGGGGCTTCGACAAGTCATAGCGGAAGCGGATAGTAAATGTGTGACAAATATGATCTGCGCCACTGAAGACGATTTTGGGGCACACACATCGATAGTAAGGGCCATCCGGAACATGATGCAGAATAATTGGAGTGTGAAGATCCACCATGTGCATAGAGAAACTAACTTCGCGGCGGACCACATGGCGAGTTTGGCGGCTTCATCTTCGCTTGGTTTCCAACGTGTATCAGAGGCCCCTGGCTTGATCATTGATCTTATGGGAATTTCGTATCCCCGACGCGTTTTTGTTTGACCAATCCTCTAGGCCTTTGGCTTCCTTCTTTGTACCGAAAAAAAAAAAAGGTTGATATGGTGTTAAAACTACTTTTACATATTTATTTATTGACATAATAGGTGACATCAACGACGTATAACTGTAGAATAAAGTTGATATATGATGTGTAAAACTACAAAATATTATCAATGTGCATACAATGTCAAATTTTATGAGAAATGCTACGGTCCCATTACCGACCATTCCGTCGAGATTTGTGACCGTTAGATCAACTATCTCCGACTGTAGCATGATGATTTAACGGTTACAAACCCCGACAGAATGATTCCGTAATGGGACCGTAACATTTTCCAAAATTTTATACTTAACTATAATATTTATTGTAACATAATTTTTGGGATACCAAATTAATTAGATCTCATAATCTAAGAAGACGCGTGTGTGGACTGCCAATGCTGTTTGGTTTCTTGACTTGATCCCATTCCTATAAATAGCGGGACACTTATCATCTAATCCAATGCATAATATCAACTAATTACAAACTAATTGCAAGTACAGTTTACGAATACTAAATATATTGAGGTTGAAAAATGGCCACCCAAAGGGTTATAATCTTGGCAATTGCAGCTGCTAGCTTAGTTTCCATGGCTTGTGCCATATCTGGAACTGCCACCTTCTACATTCCTCCCTATATTCGTAAGCATAATTTCTCTGCTTTATCTTAATAATATAATCAAATCTAATTTATTGTGAGCATCTCTTTGTATAGAAACTATATATTGACAATCCAAAACATTAAGTAACCGTAAAATTAAAATTTAATTCTATAATATGTTCGTATACGCAGCATCAGCATGCTTCGGAAATGTAGACCAAGGCACGATGATAGCCGCGGCTAACCGTGACTTGTACAACAATGGTGCGGCTTGTGGGCAGAGTTACACGGTCACGTGCACGGGTGCCAACTGTCGTAATGGTGCGGTTACAGTTCGGATCGTGGACCTGTGTCCCGGTTGTGGGCCCAACCAGCTCGACCTCTCCCAGGAAGCTTTCGCCATTATTGCCGACCCGAATGCCGGAAGAATCCAGATTGATTATACCCCGTATGTGACAAGACCTAATTAATTCTCAGTTTCAATTAATTAATTAGTGTCTCTAACCACATACATGTTGCTCCTTGTAATTTGCAGGGCTTAATTAAGAGGGAGTGAAACAAGAGAGAGACTAGAGACTCACTCATAAGTCATAGGCTCATCAATGGCACTAAATAAACGTACACAAATGTCTTTGTTGCTATCAATAAGCTAATATGATTATAAACTTTATTTGTGCAACTTCTTGTATTGGGTAATTAACAAACAGTAGAAAAAAGTCCACACAGTATGTGGAATTTTTTTTTGCTGCTGGATTTATGTAGTAATAATGTACTCTTGGGAGATTATAATAAATTAATTAGTTAAAAAATATTATTAGTGTTATTATTAATATTATTATTATTATTATAAGAATTGTCTACGCGATTTTAATAAGTCTGATTGTGCAACTTAAAAAATTAGTTAATTTTGCATCCGAGTGTATTAAAGTATGGACATCAAGATAATTCAAAATTTACAACGTCCCATACTGCTTAAGAATGTGAACATAGACAAAACTGTAACTGTCATCATTCAATGTTCGTGTTGAATGCTATGAAAGAATCACAATATTGATCTATCGTATTAGGTTTTATAAGTTAACCTACATGATGTGAAGTTGATGATGAGGTTATAAATTATCTTATGGACAATGAAGAATGAAGATTTCAACGAAACATGAGATCGAAAACAATTTATCTGAGAAACTGATGGTTTAAGGCGTGATTAGATACAAAAATCAACCGTTTTTGATTGACTAATAGTTTTTTTATAATGTTTAACTCAAAAATCAATTCAAAATTTAATTGAACTCGCATATAATTGTTGATATGCGAAATTGTATCAACATAGGGTATTCGGATAATTGTTTGAATATTGAATTGTAATGAATATTTTTGTATTTTATGGTGAGTTTTTGTATACAAGATATTGAAGAAAACTTAAAAAAGAAGCTGGCGGAAGAAGAGCACCGCCTCTTTTTTTATGATCAGGAAGAATAAAGTAAAACATGGCCCCTCAGACCTATCTTGATGATGTCCATCATTGGGGTATATATATATATATGTTTTTTGTCGGCCCAGTATTATCATAAGCGGTGTTATTTCTGGACCTTAAAATAATAAAACGATTGATTTTATCCGTACACTTTTCGTCAACTTTAATTCGTTATTCATCTATTCACATTTTTTAACCAAATATCATTTCCATAACCACCTATTCTACTTTTCATATCAACTTTAATCATTATTTTTAAGTATCCTTTAAATACAAACTCAAAATTCACTCATTCTTCCACTCTTTTAAATTTATTCAAAATTAATTCAATATCACCACTCAATTCAATCGAAACCGATTATTTATAGGTCCAAAATTTGGTGTGGACACTTTATCACAGGCTGCAAGAGGAACGCTAGAAAATAAAAGTTTGTTTTGGTCCTTGGGGTCAGCCATGTAGTTAGTTAACTGGTCCGGATTTATTATAGAGAATATTACGACTAGACCTGGTCAACGAATATAATTTGGGCCGACCTTCTGGATAATCTAATGGGCTAACGGTTGCCCGTTAGCCCATTTATTACTTATTGCTCAACAACTGTTTATGTACGTGTTTATTTTTCATTTTGAAGTTAGCCCTCTGAGTATGTATTTATTAATTCGTCATATTATAATTCTTCACCCAAAATATGCGTGTCACTTGCACCATCTTAAAAATGATGAAAATTCAAAATTCTACACCTCAACAGAAGACAATAAAATAATAAATGGGCTTAAACAATAGAATCCCTCTCACCTTAAATATGTGTAACTAAAATAAATGTAATATTCCAACAAAAATATTTTCTAGTGAAAATTTTGATGAATATTTTAATAGTATAGCTTTCGTTTGAACAATTCCAACAAAAATTTCTACGAAAATATTTTGTTCGAATCAATTTTTCATTAGAATATTTGTTGGAAATTGATGATTCCAATGACTATTTTCCAATGATTTATTATCTTTAAAATTTCCGTTGGAGCACGCAATTTCGTTGAAATTTTTATTTCCACCCGTAGTTCAACCGTTGGGAAATCTATCGCTGGAGTTGTCAAAATCCAACGCAAATTCTAATAGAAAACTCAATTCCAACGGAATTTTTGTTGGAATCTATTGGACAACTTCAACAGAAATAATACCATTAAAATCATCGTTGAAATTTCATGAAAATATATTTTAGTTGGAATTTCACCAGTTTCTTATAATATGTGTATATCGTCATAAATATTTGAATGAGGTGGTCTAACCACTAGGCGAGAATAGAGTAGTCATACTTTTCTTTCAAATAGAAAATCATTGTTACGAGTAAAATGTCATTCTTTTGATTATATTGTTTTATTAAAGTAAGAATTGAAAAAATGTCATTCTTTTGATTATATTGTTTTATTAAAGTAAGACATTTCAATTCGAAAATAGTACTGATCATTGTGCCGGTATCTCCCTAGAATATTTTTGTGCTTATCCTCTGCAGCTATTTTTTTTTTTTTTTTACTTTCCTAAAAGTATTAAAGTCCCTTTAAAAAGTTGTCATCTGCAAAATTATTGCTATATATGGCTATGGTTTATACAGTTCCACTCACCTGCCCACGGTGAGCAGTGCCCATCACTTTATTTTACATGAAAAACGTATTCTGAGAATACGTTTTTCAATTAAATTAATTGAAAAACGTTAATTGAAAAACGTATTCTCAAAATACGTTTTTCATGTAAAATAAAGTGGTGGCACTGTCCACCGTGGGCAGGGAATCAAAATTTATGGTTTATATGCTTTTGATCCAAAGTGGCTTGTGATTGTTATTTTTTTTGTATGTACTTTTGGTACAAGAAAAGTTGGCCGGAAAAATGGTACCAATGTATATATAAATCTCTTTATTGCTTGAATTTTTCTTCATAAAATGAAAGGTGAGAGCACACAAACATAAAAAAAATGTGCAAACTCTCATCATAATAATGAGTATCACATTATTCTTAACTTGCCAAGTGGGGATAAAGCTTTATTACTATACTTTTTCAAATTTAACCTCGAGATTGCTAGCCTTCAATTATTAAAGCCAATTATCCACCTCTATATTTCTCCAAAATGTTTCACAAATAAAATTATAAAGCTTGATACTAGTGAATAGCTTAATATGCCATATTAAAATTTTAATAATTTGTTTAGTTTGTCACAAATTCAGCTTAGGAATTGCTTTCAACAGCTAATAATAATAATAATAATAATAATAATAATAATAATAATAATAATAATAATAATAATAATAATAACAATAATAATAATGGATCCCAAGTGGGTCAATTCTTTTGTCAACCCAAATTTTAATGCTTCCTTACCCACGATAGACACATGTTAATATGTCCACTGTTTATGTGACATGCACACATTGGTGATTATATTTTTCACCAATGTGTGCATGTCACATAGCGGTGGACATATTAATATGTTGATGCGTAAGTGAGATCTTCATCACATGTACTCACCGTGAGTCCGTGGATAGGAAGCATTACTGTATATTATAATTTATGCTCCGCAGTTTAAAAAAATAATGTGATTCATATGTATTATGAAATATTGGTCTCATTTTCCTTTGAAATATATTCAATGAACTTTCTTAGCAGCTTATAATGGGAACTGTCCAATTTCTAGCTTCAATTATTGTTTACTGTTGTACTAGTACAACGACCGTGTATTACACGGGAGTTTGCTAATTTTTTCTTAAAATCTAAAGTTAATGTATAAGAAACTGGGGGAAAAAGAAAGCTCATATGAAGTCCAAATGAGGTTCCATCCCAAAACCAATTGGTGAAAGGAGGAGTAGCCCATTAAACTTATTAAGTGGGTCTATTTTCCATGTATTAACAATGTGGGACAACACACAAGTGATATTCTAACACGCCCCCTCACTTGTGAGTCTGATATCATGTCTCTAACCCAGGCACAAAGTGGGCTCTGATATCATGTCTCTAACCCAGACACAAAGTCAGTCGGGCTCTGATATCATGTCTCTGACCCAGACACAAAGTGGGCTCTGATACCATGTAAGAAACTTGGGGGGAAAATAGAAAGCCCATATGAAGCCCAAATGAGGTTCCATCCCAAAACCAATTGGTGAAAGGAGGAGTAGCCCATTAGACTTATAAGGTGGGTCTATTTTCTATGTGTGAACGATGTGGGACAACTCACAAGTGATATTCTAACACGCCCCCTCACTTGTGAGTCCTGATATCATGTCTCTAACCCAGACACAAAGTGGGCTCTGATATCATGTCTCTAACCCAGACACAAAGTTAGTCGGACTCTGATATCATGTCTCTAACTCAGGCACAAAGTGGGCTTTGATACCATGTAAGAAACTGGGGGAAAAGGAAAGCCCATATGAAGCCCAATGGGGTTCCATCCCAAAACCAATTGGTGGAAGGAGGAGTAGCCCATTAAACTTATTAAGTGGATCTATTTTCCATGTATTAACAATGTGGGACAACTCACAAGTGATATTCTAACACGCCCCCTCACTTGTGAGTCTGATATCATGTCTCAAACCTGGCTCTGATATCATGTCTCAAACCTGGCTCTGATATAATGAAAAAAAGTAATTGAAAATTTAAATATCTTTTATAAAAATATATATATTATTATATATTTAGTATGACAGTTTTTATTTGTACGACTAACATGTGTTATATTATCATAATTTTTTTCACTTACAACATATAACTACATTGAACATAAATATATCAATTAATAAATAATTTTATATTGGGGACTCGTTTTGGCTTGGGAGCTAGTATTTCGGACAGTGGAAGCGGAAGTGGATAATGAAAGTGTAGTGCGATTTACTAGATGTTTTGAGGTTGAGCCAGGGGTGCACATATATCTAATTTTGGGCATACAAGAGTTACTCAGTCGACCTTGGAATGTTAAAGTGAAACATAGCTTCCGTGAGGCGAATTTTGCAGCTGACTATTTGGCTTCCTTCGCAGCGGATGGTTTGATGGGATATCACGTCTTACATGACCCGCCGGATGGGATT